GGGGGAGGGGGGGGCATGACGAAGGAAGAGTTGAGCATGGAAACGTCTTGCTACGTTCGAAGCGGGATTGTCCGCACTCACATGTCGTCTAGATGACCTCGTTCGGTCAGCTTGGCGCCCTTGTACAGCTTGGAGCCGTTGGAAGCGTCGCTCCAACCGGCGGCGAGGCGTGGCCATTCGTTTGTGCGCCACTTGTCAATGCGCTCCACGTCCTCTGGCTTTGCTGGGAAGCTTCAAGATGACAAGAGTGGCATCGCATGTGTTCGTCATCAGCGAAAAGTCTCCAAAGATCAACCTGCTTCAAGTGCGCCAAAAAGCCTCGTTGCAAGCCCCCGACGACGCTGCGCTGGATACACTCACTCTATGGCTTTCGCAAATTTGAGTGCTTCTCCGAGGATGGTGTAGAGCAGCGTGAATTCGGCTTTGATGCCTGCTTTTTCAGCCGTCTTTGCATCCTCTTCTCCGATGGGCAACAGGGTGACCACATGAGCACCCTTGTTCTCATCTCCAAGCGCTTGCAGAATTTGCCCCGTCGTGCCATTCTCCGCAACACAGTCGAGCGCAAAGGGAATCGCACCTCCCGAAGCTTTTTGAATCTGTTCAATGACGTCCTCGTCTTTGTAGTCGACGAGCACGTCTGCTCCCAGTTGACGCAACACATCGTGATGCTGCTTGGATGCCGTGACGATGGGAGAAAGACCAGATAACTTGGACAACTGGATAGCATGGTGTCCTACGGCTGTCGTTCCGCCCCAAATGAGAATGTGCTTGCCTGTAGGCTTGGCTTGACTGGGCACCGTGAGACCTTGACGCAAATAGAGCGCCTGAACAGCAGTCAGGAGGGGAATGCCCAGTGCTGCACCTGCTGCGTAGCTCTGACCCTCGGGCAGCTTGAGCGTAGCCCACTCTTTGTATCTTGCGTACTCTGCAAATGCGCCATTGTTTGCTGAGCTGGTCTGTTCCGCAAAGCATTACCAGTGGAAGAGCAAGGCATTGCAAGTGGAAGAGATTTCAGCACAAGCTGCACAGGAGTGTCGCGCTCCGAGAAACAATGATAGATTTCACTCACACCGTACAGAAACCCAGCAATACGATCGCCTACCTTCAGCGAAGAGACCTCATCACCCACGGCGATGACTTCACCTGCCGCATCGCAACCTCCCACCAGGCCAGGGTCTGACCAGCCACCGAGAGCGTGCTTCCAATCCGTAGGGTTGATGGCCGCTGCATGGACCTTGATGAGCACTTCGCGGGGCGGCAATTGGTTCGCACCCGTGTCGGAGAGGCGCAAGGGCCAGTCTACCACTTTCACGCTCGCTGGCGTTGTTGCCTGTGTGACCACTGCACGGTTGGTCGCGGGTAGCTGTGGGAGAGTCATCTTGAGTGGGAAAAAGGTTTACCTTGCACCAATGGATGATTGAGGTGACAATGCAGCTTTAGATGTGATGGTTGGGAAGTCAGCTTTTCTTGCGCACTCACGGCTATTTGACTTGCGTCACGAGCTGCGTCCTCTCGTCAATCGC